ACTTTCAATTGGTATCAGAGCAAGTCTCACACGTTTTGCTTAACAGCTTGTGAGAAAAGATCATGGCAAATCAAGTAATTGTTGGAGCACTCTTTCAAGAAGGAACATCGCAAGTTAGGCCACCATACTTCAATGGACAACACTTTTCTCGTTGGAAAGTGCGTATGAAAATATATGCAGAATCTTATGATGTCAAAGTATGGCGCATTATCAAAAAGGGGAACTATCCACTACCAGCAGCAGCTCAACCACCTGCTGATCCAAAAGATATAGATGAATACACAAACGAACAAATGGCAGTTGTTCAGGTTAATGCTAAGGCACGAAATTTACTCTATAATGCTATAAGTGGAGAGGAATATAAGAAAATATCAAGTTGTGATACAGCTAAAGAAATGTGGGATAAACTGAAAGTTACATATGAAGGAACCAGCAAAGTGAAAGAAACTCACATTAACATGTTGGTTCATGACTATGAACTCTTCCAGATGAAAGAAGGAGAAACCATTGAGGAAATGTTTGCAAGGTTCAGCAAAATCATTAGCGTTCTGAAAGCTTTAGGTAAACCATATTCAAGTGCTGATCAAGTTCGAAAAATTCTAAGAAGTCTACCTACCACTTGGCAGACAAAAGTAGTTGCACTCGAATCACAAGATCTAAACAAACTTTCATATGATGAGCTTCGAGGGATCTTATAGCATTCGAGAAAACTCACCTTAAGAAAACAAAGCAGGAAGAAAAGAAGAAAATTGTTGCCTTCAAAGCTACAACTGAAAGACCAGAAAATAATATTGATGACGACCCAGAAGCTCTTGAAGAAGAGATTGCCATGGTATCAAGAAACATGGATGGTTTAATGAGAATATACAGAAACACAAGAAGAGGTAGGATGCCCTCTAGGCGAACCAGGCAAAATAATGAACAAGACAAGAATGATGGAAAATGTTATGAGTGTGGAAGATATGGGCATGTTCAAGCTGAATGCCCAGATCTTAAAAGAAAGGTTTCCAGAGGATTTAATAAAAATAAATATTTCTGAAGCTGGAGTGATGAACACAGTTCGGAACACGAGGAAATAGCAAATCTATGTTTCATGACCATTCTGAAAAATGACATGAACAAATATTCAGGTTGCTGGACTGATGAAGATGCATCAGACGATGAATGCAAAGAAGATAATGAAAATTGTTTCATGGCACGAGGTGAAACAAGCAAGGAACACCACAGAATAAGCCACAAAGGAAAATGGTACTTAGACAGTGTGTGTTCCAGTCACATGACAGGTGACAAAAACCTGTTCAAAGAAGTTACAAAGATAAATGGAGGAAGTGTCAAATTTGGCGATGATTCAAAAGGAAAGATAGTTGGCACTGGCATGGTTCCATTCAACAACAACTGTGATATTACTAAAGTGTATCTTGTAGAAGGACTCAACTACAATCTCCTGAGTATAAGTCAGCTTTGTGATTTAGGGTACGAAGTTAAATTCAAGAAAACAGGTTGCGCTATTGAAGATGAGGCATGTAAAATAATACTCCCAGGAAAAAGGTATGGAAATATTTACATTCTTGATGGCATTGAAAATCTAGATAGTCACATCTGCTTAGCATCTATATCTGATGATCTACGGTTGTGGCGTATGAAACTTGGTCATGCAAGCATGCATCTTATTGAGAAACTCTCCAAGCATGATTTAGTTATTGGTTTCCCTAAACTTAATTTTTTCTAAAAATCATGTATGTGATGCATGTCAAATTGGCAAACAAACCATAAACTCTTTCAAAAGCAAAGGCATTGTATCTACCACCAAGCCTTTACAATTGCTCCACATGGATTTGTTTGGACCCACCAGAACTTCTAGCATAGGAGGAAAACGATATGCTTTTGTTATTGTTGATGACTACTCACGTTTTACATCGGTAATTTTCTTATCTCACAAAGATGAAGCTTTGAAATACTTTGAGATTTTCTATAAGAAAGTTGAAAGAGAAAAAGGGTACCTTATTACAACCATTCAAAGTGATCATGGAGGAGAATTTGAAAGCAAAGCATTTGAAGATTTCTGCAATGATCAAGGATATACTCACAACTTCTCAGCTCCAAGATCACCTCAACAGAATGGAGTAGTTGAGCAGAAAAATAGAACTTTACAAGATATGGCCAGAACAATGATATTGGAATATTCCCTGCCAAACCATTTTTGGGCAGAAGCAGTAAGCACAGCCTGCCACATTCTCAACAGATGTCTTATAAGACCTATTCTGAAGAAAACTCCATATGAATTATGGAAAGGTAAACGGCCCAATATAGGTTATTTTCATCCTTTTGGCAGCAAGTATTTTATCCACAACAATGGTAAGGACAATCTTGGAAAATTTGATCCAAGAAGTGATGAAGGTATTTTTCTAGGTTATTCCATAAATAATAGATCCTTTAGAGTTTATAATAAATGCACTTTATTTGTAGAAGAATCAGTACATGTCATATTTGATAAAAATAACACTACTGCCGAGAAAGTAATTATTGCAGGTGATGAAGATATTAGTCAAGAAACACCACAGTCAAGCAAATCTCAAAAGTCAACTGATACGATAGACGGTGTCACAGAATCAACTAGTGAGCCCGTCACCAGTCAACCAGAATCACAGAAGGAGTCAACTACTCATACGATTGCAACACGTCTAAATGCATGGAGAAGTGAACCGGAATATCCTCAAAAGTTTATCATAGGAGATCCAAGTGAAGGAATAAAAACCAGGGGAGCTCTCAAGAAAAAAGCAAATGTAGCACTCATCTCTCAGATTGAACCAAAGAGGGTTGAGGAAGCCTTAAAAGACTCCGGCTGGGTACAAGCAATGCAGGAAGAACTCAATCAATTTGATAAAAAAACAAGTCTGGAAATTGCTACCTAAGCCTGCAAATGCTATTGTAGTTGGAACAAAATGGGTTTTCAGAAATAAGCTTAATGAAGATGGAAAGGTCGTGAGAAACAAAGCCAGATTAGTAGCCCAAGGCTACTCACATCAGGAAGGAGTCGACTACGATGAGACCTTTGCACCAATAGCTCGACTAGAGTCTATACGGATTCTTTTTGCATATGTATCCTTCAAACGATTCAGACTCTTTTAGATGGATGTCAAAAGTGCCTTTTTAAATGGCTTCATTGATGAGGAGGTATATGTAAAACAACCTCCTAGTTTTGAAGACTCAAAATTCCCTTACCATGTGTATAATTTGACTAAAGCTCTGTATGGACTCAAACAAGCTCCACGAGCCTGGTACAAAAAGCTTAGTTCATTTCTACTTGATCATGTGTTTACAAGAGGTAAAGTAGATACTACCTTATTTATCAAAAGATCATCAGGAGGTAATCTTATTATTCAAGTTTATATTAATGATATTATCTTTGGAAGTGCTAACCCTCTGTTGTGCAAGGAATTCGCTAGTCTTATGCAAAGTGAGTTTGAAATGAGCATGATGGGAGAGCTTACATTTTTTCTTAGACTACAAATTCAACAATCTGAAGAAGGAACGTTCATGTTCCAAACAAAATATACAAAGGAATTAATTCAAAAGTTTGGCATGAGCAGTGTTAAAGCAATTGGTACACCAATGAGCCCGTCAACAAGTATCGACAAGGACGAAAAAGGAAATCCAGTTGATGAAACTAAATATCGTGGAATGACGGTTCCTTGCTCTACTTGACTGCTAGTCAACCAGATATTATGTTTAGTGTGTGTAAATGTGCCAGGTTTCAGTAAACTCCTAAGGAATCATATCTGACTGCAGTAAAGAGAATAATTTGTTATCTCATCGGAACTATTTCTTATGGATCATGGTATCCATGTTCTAACAATTTTAAACTGGAAGGTTTTTCAGATGCTGATCTTGCAGGCGATAAAGAAGACAGAAAAAGCACTAGCGGAACATGTCAATTACTGGGAAAGGCATTAATTTCATGGAACAGTAAGAAATAAGGCTCAGTTGCATTATCCACAACGGAGGCAGAATATATTGCTATTGGGCAATGTTGTGCTCAGTTACTATGTATGTCTCGTCAACTGGGTGACTATGAACCATTTTTTAAACATATTCAAATATTTTGTGATAACTCTAGTGTTATATGTCTCTCAAAGAATCATGTGCATCATTCTAGGGCTAAGCATATAGACATCAAGCATCATTTCATTAGAGATCACGTGCTTAAGGGAGATATAAAATTATAATTTGTTGGCACAACTGATCAATTAGCTGACATTTTTACTAAGCCTTTACTTGAAGATAGATTTTGCTCCCTAAGAGAACTACTTGGTATTATTTCTCTTGGTCATAAAACTTAGGACCCATGTGTTAGTTTTTAATTCTTGTGTGTCTAATATTTTTATTTATGTTTTATCTGTAAGTATGCATTAATTTAGCGCCTCCAATTTCCCTCTCTTTTCCCATCAGTCGCAGCTTTTAAGAAAGGAAAATCAATCATTATGACCCTTCCTCACACCTCTTCCTTTCCTGCACTCAACCGTCAAAATCCCTTCCTTTTGTAATCCCCTGAACCACTCTTCTCTGTCTTCATTGCTCCTACCACTCAAAAACCGTTCCTCAAATCCTTCAAACCCTTCTTCAAAGTCTCTCGATGGCTAAACACTCCCAGAATCCGTCTGCCTCCACTAGAAAAAGTACTCGTTCCAAGGGAAAACCATCTACTTAGCCTCCAGAACAAGTAGACCTAGGGTCTGACCACTCGGAAGGGTTTGCCTCTTCTCAGGCAGAACTATTAAGACCACTTTCGCCTAATAGGAGAAAAAACCCTTGGAAAAAGACCTATGGAAGACCCCCATGAATCTTTTACCCCCCAAGAAATCCAAAGTAGAGCTCTCGAGTTCTCTAGAGTCCGACTTCAATTTCTGGGATACCCCACATAGGGATTTTTTTATTGCTCTGAAAGACAAGCCCATTTTCCATGGAAGAGTAATCGACCTTGATGATATGGAGGCCCTCAATTGTAAGGTAAAGGATCTATTTGTTTTTCAAGGATGGTCAAAATTTCTCTCTGTACCCCCTCCCAAAGTCTATGAACCTTTAGCGAGAATATTTTATGCAAATCTTCACTCTAGAAAGCCTGATAAGTTAGAATCCTTAGTTCTAGGAAAACGCATTATCCTTGATTGTGCCATGTTTGACTCAATCTTTCGGTGTAAGTGCTCCAATTTTCTTATGCTTTTCAAGAATACTTGGCCTGATGATTTTGAAATTTTTTTTTTATCAAGCAAAACGTTGTATTGCTGAATGTCCATCTGATTTCCTTCCTAACCAGTTAGGTCCCAGTGATGTTAGTTTTTAAACCTGAGTTCTGGCCCACATTGTTGCAACTACTCTTGTTTCTCGTACTGGATCATTCTCCACCTTCTCTCAATGAGATACCTTTTTTGTCTACTGCCTTGTGACCAAACTTAAGGTTAAACTATCCTTATGGGTCATAAACTTCATGATTGAGAGTGCTGATGATCCCACCAGTTTACCCTATGGTATGGCTATTACCCACATTTTGGAAGCCCACAACATCTCTATCTCAGAATACCCCTTTTGTCTCTGTTTCCAAGTCCTACAACTCTAGAGCCTTCGCCAGTATGGGGTATGTGTGTGCTAAGGACTCCTGGGTGAAGAAACAGGGACGGTGAAGTCAAGAACGTCCAGCCTGATCCCAAGACCAAAGCCTCTGTTTCCCATCATAGTGTAGGTGATCCTGATCTTATGGAGAAACTATCTTCTATTGATAACAAGTTGACCACCATCAAGGACCTTCTTGCAGCAACTCAATCCACTGTTGGGACATCCATGCAATCTCCAAAGAGACTGGATCCGATGTTTCAAAGATAAGGGTCAAAATCCTCAAACTCAGAGAAAATACAGTCAAAGCCTTCAAGGAAGTACATGACAGGATTGATGGGGTGACGGTTTCAGCCAATGCCAGCTTTGAACGTCTGAAGGAGGCGATTTGCAACACTTTAATTTATTTCTTGCGTCGTTAGTTGTGGAAGTTTCAAACAATTTTTGTTTGTTATTTTGTTGTGATGGGCTGGATAACCAATCGCTGGATACTTTTGCTAAACCCTACATGCCTATACTTTAACTGATGCCTATATTTTAAATATTTGCCTATGATATATCTGTTCCAACTTAATTTCAACTGTATCTGTGCATATCCCCTCTTTGTTGATGTCAAAAGGGGGAGAAAAAGACCATTGTACTTTGCAGGACATATAGCAACTATTAAGGGGGAGTTGACTGAAGTATATGACGCACCTATTGAAGGGGAGTCGACTACAGGGAAGTAAACTGTTGTTTATATATATTATTTTTGTCATCATCAAAAAAGGGGAGATTGTTAATTATGAGTTTCAATGATGAAAAACAATATATCACATCTGGTGCAGGAACACAAGGAATAAAACAATCAAGAAGCAATACCATTCAAGAATAGATTAAGAAAATAATTTATTACTGGAGCAATGCAAAGGAAAGAATCAATAATTAGAGATGAAAAAGGAAGAAGCAACGGAGATACGGAAGAAGAATCAATCAATGATTCAATAAATGATTGACGGAAGCTATTACAGGAAGGTCCCAAATCAAAGAAAAACAAGATCGCAAGGGCTGCATTGGAGATTGTTGAAGCCAAAAATCAAGGGATCTATCGCAAATCACTCAAGTTACGAAAAGATATGCCTAGCGAATGAAAAGCTTGTCAAGACCTCAAATCAAGGAGGATCAACGGAAACTTGACTTTATTCTTGGAAAGAATCAACCTATGATTCCGTTCAAGGATCAACTCCCTTGGGTTTGCAATCTCTCAAGATTCACGAAGGCCTCACGAAGTATATATATATACATATGTTTCAGACTTGAAAAAAATATACTTTGATCAAACCAATTTCAATCTCTTTGTTCTACTTCAAACAAAACATTGTAGTCTGCTCTAGATTTCTTGTGTAACATAGAAGAGAAGAGAGAGAGATAAGAACACTGGTGAGACATTGTATCAATTATAGAGAGAAAAACGAGTGACAAAAATTGTTGGTGTATAACAACATCAACTCATCTGTATTAAGCCACTTCATACTTGAAAAAGATCATCCTTGAAACCCAAGGGGACTGGATGTAGGATTTACTCTGGATCCGAACTAGTATAAAAACATACTGTGTCATTTACTTTCTGCAATTTATCTTTTTCATTCGATTCCTGAAAGGCCAAGTCGACTCAAATTAGTCGAAAATTCACAATTCACTCCTTCCCCCCC